GAGCACAGGGGTTGCAGCCATCCCGGTGGGTGGAGGTGAGTGGGATCTGCCCCCCCTCCCTGCCATCCTGCTGCAGGTGTCGGGGTACAGAGGGGCTGCAGGATTTGCAGAAGGGTTGGGGGGTGCCGAGTGCCCCGAGTGCGGCAGGAGGGGTGAATATGTGTGTTGGCATGGGGGGGGCCATGCGGGGGCTTTGTGGCTCTGTACGAGGTGGGTTTAGGGGTGTTGTGCTTGTAAAAGAAGGTGGGGGTGGCAATGGGGAAAAAGGGTGTCTGGGGGGCAGAGGGAGGATTCGTGGGGCTGGCGTTGCCCCTCTCTGTACTGGTAGCAGAAATGCCGCCTGCGCTTGCCCTCACGATCCGCCCAGCGCTCTGCCGGCCGCCTCTCCGCTCTGCACCCCAGTGCCCTCGCCGTGAACCCGGAGATGGGGGTCCCCGGGCGAGCGGGCTGAGCTGCGCAGGCACCGAGGCGGCAGAGGACCTGCTCAAGGGCAGCGCTTCCCCTGACGTGATCTCGGCTGCGTGACCGAGTCTCGCAAAAGGAGATATTTATAGTGCTGCTCCACTGGCCTGAGGTTTGCAGGGCCCGGGATGGGGCTGGCAGCTGCCCCCTGCCCCGCACCCAGAAGCCTCTGGATGCAGCTGAGCCGTTTCCCCGGCGGGGCTGAGCTGCGTGGGAGCCTGCAGTGTATAACGGGCTGGGGCTCGCTGCCAGACTACACGTCCCGGCGTGCTCCGCTGCCTGCGTGCTGGGTGCTGGGTGCTGCAGAGGCCTCGCAGCCAGGGTGCAGGGAGCAGGTTTTTTTTCCTTTGGCCTGGGTCAGGCAGGCTCTAGCAAAGGAGGATTGTGCAAGGATGGGGACAAGGGGGAGAGGCCATGTTTTGGCTTTGCCCTCAGACACAGATTTGCCAGAGCTGTTGCAGCCTGTGGGAGAAGGTGAGAAGACAGGCTGGACTACATGTCCGGGAGTGTTTGCCACATACTTTGTCCCTGTGGCTCCAACCACCACGTGTCCTCAGGCCTCAGCAAAGGGAAATGGGAGGTTTGGGAACTGCCCTGAGATGAACCATGCTGCTCCACGTTTTGTGTCTGGAGCAGCCTTCTTTTGGGTCCTCCCAGAGCCACCAGCACATGGGGACAGCCAGAGCCAGAGCCATGCTTACTCTTTGTGTCAGATGGTCCTACAGATGTGGTCCTCTCCTGACCAGGCATCTGCTCCGCTGATGTCTCCAAGCTCTTCCCTCCCTTGGCACGATGCCCTGGAGTATGCGGGGTCGCCCCTGTGCGCGCCCCAGCTCCTCTCCCAGCCCTCTGATCTGCACGGTTTGCACGTTCCAGCCAGATGCCATCACTGTGCTGCCATCGCCACCCCATCCTGGATCCCCTCTCCCTCTTTTTTCACCCCCTCCACCCTAGAAACACTGGTGCTAGGCCGGCAACTGTTTTCCACCCTCCTGCCGCACTCGCCTGGTGGGTGGCATCTACTCACCCTTGGGTGGGGGGAGGAGTGGGGCAGGGTGAGGCAGGAGCAGGAGATCAGGGCGAGGGATAAAGCTGGGCCTATTTTTATACTGCAAAGTAATTACCAGAGCTTTCCAATCCTTAATCTGCCGAGCACCCCAGTGTGATTGGATCCCTCCCCGAGCCTGGCAACAATTCTCCCATCACACGTCTGCTGCGTCAAAGCCCCGTAAACTCCCACACTTGGGCTCACACTGGGATACATGTGCTGTGGAGCTGCTGGCATATCTGCCCCCCGCCCCTGGCAACTCCTGCTCTGTTGAGATCCTGTTTTGCAGCTGGGAGGGGAAATCTCACCGTGGACCCCAGCAGGGCAGGATGCAGCCTTTGCTACCTTGCTGTACCCTGGCTGGCGCCGGTGGGTAAATTTGGGTGCCAAACCTGTCAATGCACTAAATCCACATTCTCCCCTACAGCTGCCTCTCAGGGGTTTTTGGCTGAGGTTAGTGGCCCACACAGCACCCTCCAGCACCCATCCAGCTTGGCTTCCTGCTGGCACGGCCGGGGTCCGGGATGCCCCTCCTGGCGGCACGCAGGGCAGCTCTGGGTGGCAGTGCCAAGTCTCAGCTGGCACCTTTCCCAGCCTCTCCCCGTCCTGTCACTGTGCCAGGGGGTTGCTGAAGAACCTGTTCCATAGCTCCCGCCACAGAGGAGGAAATGATAGGTGGTGTTTGTGGCCACACCTATCATCCCAGGGCTGGGGGACTGTTTCGCCTCTGCGTGCCCGCAGCCGGCTCCAGGGTGGAGCACGGGAGCTCCTCAGCCTGGAGATGGAGGTGAGGGCTTGGGATGGTTCTCACCCTTCTCCACCCACCAGCTCCCCAGCACCTTGCCCCAAAGCCAGTCTGGGGTGTTCAGCCTGGCTTCATGGTGGCAGGTGGGAGATTTTGGTGCCACAGTTCCTCCAGATGAGACACTGGAGTTCACAACACCCTTGCCGAATATTTGGGAGTATCCCTCAGTCCATCTCAGTGCACAGCAGGAGGCATAAAGTAAACTTGGCAGTGTACCAGACACAGTGCCCCCAAAATGCTGCTGTTCCACGACAGGACCCAATGCCCAGGATTGTGGAGGGTGAGCTGCCTTAGGGCATCCCTGGGTGACCCCGCCAGTGTCCCTTCCCCCTGCCTGGCAGGGACCCGGCGGGCTGGGAAACCACCCGGCGCTGCCGCCCTGCCAGAGCCAATGGCCATAAAAGGCCCTGAAATGGAGGAGCTGGGCAGGGGGCTGGGCTGCTCCTCAGGCCGAAGCAGGATTGTCCCATCTGCCCACGCGGGCGAGTCTTGCCCTGATGTGGGACTGGGGGGCTGGATGAGAGAGAGCAGCCCCGGCAGCCCAGAGCAGGGTCAGAATGCTGGGGCACACAGTGCTCCCCCTGCCTCCCGGGGGGGCATGTTTGGGCAATGCCCTGAGACACCAGGGATCTGCATCGCCTCCCACAGTGGGCTCAGGGCGGGGATAAAGCTGCCTTTTCATCAGGCACCTGAGCTGTGGTGTGGCAGGGGCTGGGGGGGGCCGAGGGGCATGCAGAGGGCTCCCCCGCTGCCCCCCTGACGCCTCTCCCCAGACAATGGCCACCCTTTGTTGGGGTTTTACGCGCACGGCCCCCTTCCCCGCAGCCCAGCTGGTGACATTTTACCACCTCCACATTCACATGGGGATTCAAAGGGCACAGATGCACCGTGAAACCACAAAGCGCAGCCTCCCCCACTGCTGCTCCCCCTCCCCAGTGCCTCAGCATCCCCAGGGAGGCAGGGCCAGGATGCACAGCCGGGATGCACGAATTGGGAACCTCCCTCTGGGGCTATTTCGAGGGCAACCTGCCAGCCACTGGGGCTTCCTCCATCCTCAGCCATCAGCCCCCTCCATTTCTTTGTGACCCTGTTGAGATCCTTCTCCCCCATCCCTGGCCCAAGGGGGCTTGGCATGCCAGACACCCACTGGTGGGAGATGAAGGGAGGCAGCGTGGACACAATTTCCAGGCTGGTGACGCTTGACCTTTGGGAGTTGGAGCTGTGTGGGTGGTACCCACCTCTGCCCCACAGGCACCCGGCTGCCAGAGCAATACCAGAGCAATGCCAGGCAGGCTGGCAGTGCTGGCCCCGGCATCGCCCTCGGCTCCTGGGTGTAGCCAGTCTGAGCGTAGCTGGTGTGTGGGGTATGCAGTGGCCTCTGTCCCTTCGGAGAGGTCCCAGCATACAGGCGTCCAACTCATGCCCCTTCCCTCCTGCTCCCAGACCTCCAGGGGCTTTCCCTCGAGGACTTGAGCCAGCAGCCCAGTTCCTCCCAACCGGTCATTGCCTCCGCAGGGACCTTGGGAAAAGAGCCTGTAAACAGGCAGTCGGAGAGTGTGAGTCACAGCGACCGAGAGGGAAATAAATGCACGAGGAGAATTTGCAGCATGTGTTGGGTCATGGGGATGAATCCAGCCTCTCCCAGTGATGGTGAGCAGCTGGAACATCGGTGCTGTCCTGTGGAGCCAGCTATCCCAGGAAGGGGTGGTTATTCCACTGACAGGACTGTGTCCAGGCAAGCTTCAAAACGGACATCTTGCCCTCTCTCCACCAAAAGTATCCCCTGAGCCTTGCCGCTTTCATCCCAAAGGATGAGCAGTCACCGCGCCGGAGGTGGCTGTGTTTCAGCGCACAGCACCCTGCCCCTACAGCCGTGCAGATCGCTTTCCTGCTGAAAGTCACCCCGCCGTGGTTATTTTTGGCTGGCGGCGGGGCCGGAGGAGCTGGCTCTCTCCCAGCCACTGCAGCGCACCCGGTTTGGGATTACATCTTGCGTGGTGCGTAGCGCTTGGGTGAACAGGCTGCCTTCAGCATCCCCTCTCCCTGTTGCCAAATACCTGCCAGCTCCATCGCCCGCCTGTGTGTAAAGCAAGAGTGCTATCTAGTGGCTAATCCCACTGGGGACACCAGTGATGCTGGGGATTAATTTCTGCAAAGGCCTCCAGTGACACCGGGTCACCTCTATGAGCGTGGCTTTACCATCCCAGTTTAACTGGTAGTCTAAGGTGTTGAGATGTTTACCCGGGGTTCAAAAAAGCTGCTCATTTCCCTGGCCTCACTTGAGTCTGAGGGGACATCCAGGGCTCGGAGCCACGAGAGGGGGCGTGTTGGCCAGGAGGAGGGGTGCCCAGATTAGGGGCGGGGGGATGCACTTTACGGGGGATGAAGGGATGAAGGGGCCGGGAAGCATCTTCACACCAGATGTTTCATCAGGACACGCTCTCACTCGGCTGCACCCCGAGGACCACCCAGCCTGAAGCTTTTCATGCTTCTCTTTCAAGAGCCACCGTGTCCCCCACGGTGCATCAGCCCCCGTCCCCCTCCCCAGCAGGGCGGGGGGAGCGGTGCTGGGGTTAGTGCCCCTCCGCCCGGGCAGGGTCGGGGTGTGGCTGAGCGATGCTGGGGGTTTTGGGGGGATGCACTACCCCTTTTACGGCCCCAAACCCCCGTGAGGGCCGGCCGGGGCTCATTTCCTTATCCCACCCTCCTGCGGTTGGCTGTAGCGGGGCCCCGCGGCTGACGTCACTAAAATATGCTGATTTATGCGCGTTAACCCTTTTCCCGCGGGACTCGGGGGCTCCTGGGGAGGCGGCGGCTGCGGGGCGGGGGGGCCCCACCGCTG